CCTTCTATCCTGCGAGTTGAGAACTTCAGAGACAATGACAAAGAGGTATGGGGAGATTGGGTCTCCTTTCCTCAATCCTTTGGGGGGAGATATAACCATTGATACTGCCATTCAAATTGAAATAAGAGGTAAAGGAAGATACACAAGCCATGATTCATTTTACAAACTACGGATTGAAGCCTATTTTTAGCATGATAAACTTTATGTAGTGCTATTCAACTCTGTCATATGCTTTCAACATATCCAGCTTTAAAGCCATAATATAGTCCCAGAAACTGACTTAGATTGATAGGGTTGGCACATTTGAGAATAAAAGTTATCAAGGTAAGGTTCCAATACTTTAACAATTGCCCAGAAACTCTCAATAGCCAGAATCAGATCATGCTTTACAATTGGCCACAAATGCTGATAAAAGAGAGTTGACATACCATCTTCTCCTAGTGCATTTCCTAGATTCATACTTAAAAGAGCAGCTTTAATGCCATCCTCTTCCATCTTTTGCAGCAACAATGTATTCATATTAGGAGCAACTGATTCATGGATCATATTTAACAGCTCCTCTCCTCCCTTACATCCTTCATATTGAATAAGATGAGAGAAAAACTGGCAACAGGTTCTTCTATCTCCTTTTTTTATTGACAGACTCAGTTATCCACTATAATCAACCTAGATATGGCATTGCTTCTTTTCCTTTGCATTGTGTATGCATGAAAGAGTTTTGAATTCTGGTCTGCTTCCTTCAGCCACTGAAGTCTGGCCTTTTGTTTCTAGAACAAGTCCTCAGAGCATTGTGCCTCATCCAACTCTTTCTTGACTACTTCCTAAGCTTCTCAATTCTTCTCTCTTCTTATGTTCTCATATCCTTAAGTTTTAGAGTGACATCTTCTCTTCTTGCGCTGCTTTGAGCTTTGAAATATTTACTCCACAACATTAAGGCCATCCTAGTATGCTTAATCTTTTCTTTAACCTTGAACATAGAGGTGCCTTCGTGCTGAAGCTCCCAAGCCTTCTGCACCACCTACTTTGCCCTTGGTTTTTGCAGCCACCTCTTATCAGATTGAAACCTCATTTGTTTTGTTTCTTCAACTGATCTTGAATCTAGAATCAACAGAAAATGGTCTGAGGCACTCATAAATACATTAGTAATAGAAGCACTAGGATACTGAGCCAACCCATCAAAGGAGCTGAAGGCTCTACCTAGCTTTTCCTTAACAAACCCCTCTAGCATTCTATTATTCCCCCAAGTAAATCGATGTCTCGTCATTCTTATCTCCTCCATCCCATGTCAGAAATAAAACTGTTGAAGCCATAAAAACTCCTCTCAGGTCTAACTTTTTCCCCTTTCTTCTCTTCATCCCAACATAAATCATTTCAATCTTCTAGAATAACCCATTTGTCTCCCCATTTTTGCCTTCCCTGCTCTAGGAATCTTCATTGTTGTTATCTTGGAGCTTTATTTGTGTTTAAATACACAAAAACCCCCAGGTGGACTCCTCTTGATTCTGCGGCCTGAACTCCACTCCTATGCCACTGGGCCATTTAGGCTCACCTGAAAACCACCTATACTCAAACCCCATCTTCTTGAACACAGTCTACACATCTTTC